TAAGGAACCAGCAGATCAAGTAGCTTTTGGAATAAAACACCAATTTTTTTAAAATTAAACACTATCTAAAGATTTGCATCGAAGCGTTTATTTTTGATAGTGATTTTAATCACTGTCAGATATCATTATACTTGATCCAACTATACCACGTCACAACTGTGCCGCGACCCCCCTGTCCTGGGTTTTTTTTTCTTAAAACTGCCGTTACTTTTTCAAAAATGAACAAATCAATATAATTTTTTTTTTATGATGCTTGATGTACTTTACTTATCATTTGGTATATTTTTTTTATAAATTTAACCCTTCAACTGCCCACAGGGGGATTTTAAATGACAACTTTTTTACTTTTTTTTTAAATCAGACTATTTCCCTATATACGGGGGGGCTTTAAATATAAAAAATGCATATAGAAAGTAGAACTTTTTCAACTTAACTTTTAAAAGTGTTCCGAAAAGTATGAAACTTTTATATATATCTTAAATTAATTATAATGTAATGTACTTTATTATGAAAAAAAAAAAAAAAATTCGGACTTTATTTTGTTTGCATGGTAAAAATGGTTACCGAATGCTATTTTTGTGTGAAAATTTTCGATTTTATTTTCTACATTTTTAACTTTATAATGCTTTAACTTATTAAAAAATGTATGGATCAATACAATTTTTTCATGAGAAATAATATTTTTTAATAATCCCTTTTTCATTCATGATATTAATAAGGAAATAGTAGATCATGTAGCTTTTGGAATAATCCACCAATTTTTTAAAATTAAACACTATCTAAAGATTTGCATCGAAGCGTTTTATTTTGATAGTGATTTTAATCACTGTCAGATATCATTATACTTGATCCAACTATGCCACGTCACCACTGTGCCGTGACCCCCCTGTGCTGGGTTTTTTTATTTTTTCAGTAATTAAAAAGATCCAATTTACAACTTTTAATAATTTCAACTAAGAGATTTATTGAGATTAGTCAATAAAAAATATCTTACTTTACACATCATAGTTTAAAGTCAAGTTCTTACAATGTTAATGCATCTTAACACAAAACAGTTCGCCCGCTTTTTCCAATCTCCGTATCACAGTTTTCTCATAAGATTGGCTTTGAAATTCGTAAAATAAATAGGCTCTCTAGTAGCTTTGAACACAGTAAAAAAATTAGCCCTTAATATAAGCCACTTTTAAATTAAAAGGTTTTATTTTTATTTATTATCAAAATTATTAAAAATTTCCTATATGAGTAGAATAGTAAAATTTGGCGAAAAAGTAAAGGGAATAATCTGAAAATTATTATTATTTTTTAATAAACGGTCTTCTAAGAACAATCGACATTTTGAGGACACCAGAGCGTGTAGTCGTTTACTATGATTTTTAGTTCCGGAAGGTCTGACATTTTTATATATATCTTAAATTGAAGCTTATGTAATATACTTTAATTTGAAAAAAAAAAAATTTGACCTCTGGACTTGTCTTCGTGGTGAAAGTTGACATCATAGTTAATAAAAAATTACGATTTTTGTAAAATAATTTTTTTTTATATTTTTAAATTAAAAATGCTCTAACTTTTTCAAAAATGAACATATCAAAATAATTTTTTTTTATATAGATGCTTGATGTCTTTACTTATCATTTAGTATATTTTTTATGTAAATCTGACACTTAACCTACCCACAGGGGGGGATTTAAAATGACAACTTTTTCACAACAAATTTACTTTTTCAACTTAAATTTTAAAAGTGTTCCGGAAAGTCTGACACTTTTATATATATCTTAAATTAAAGCTAATGTAATATACTTTAATTTGAAAAAAAAAAATTGACCTCTGAACTTGCCTTCGCGGTGAAAATGGCTACCGAATTCTATTATTGTGTGAAAATTCTCGATTTTATTTTTTATATTTTTAACTTTATAATGCTATAACTTATTGAAAAGTGTATAGATCAACATAATTTTTTTATGAGAAATAATATTTTTTAATAAACCCTTTTTCATTCGACATACTTTATCTTAATCGAGATATTAAGGAACCAGCAGATCAAGTAGCTTTTGGAATAAAACACCAATTTTTTAAAATTAAACACTATCTAAAGATTTGCATCGAAGCGTTTTATTTTGATAGTGATTTTAATCACTGTCAGATATCATTATACTTGATCCAACTATGCCACGTCACCACTGTGCCGTGACCCCCCTGTGCTGGGTTTTTAAAGTTGTAAATCCTCCATAAACAAAAAAAATTTTGATTTGGTAATATTAATAGAAGCTCATAATTTATAACAAATAAATGTTTCATTATTTTTATAAATTATAATAGAGCTCTAAATAATAACATAGAATTGAGATGAAACTTTTAGTTTTCATAACAAATTAAGTATTACTGCACTTGTTTATTGTCCATTTAAAACAAAAATATTTGTTAATTTTACAAAGAATTATGCATTTTTTATTTCATAAAGAATGAATTTTTTGAGTTTTTAGTCGAATATAATGATTAATTTTTTTATGGTAACATTTAAATGTTTTTACTGGATCAATATCAGTGTGTGGTAAAAATTAAGTTAATATTATGAACAAAATTATTAGTGTTCATTAAACTATAATATTGAATAGTTAGTTTATTTGATGAATCATGGATTAATTTAACTGCTAAAAGGTTTTAGTTTCTATTTAAAGAACGGAAGGCTTATTTTCGTTCAAAGTCATTTTTTCGTTAACAAAAACACCGAGTATCTCACAAAGTTTTTTTAGTATTGATTTTAAGTATAGTATTAATATATTATATAAATGTTTTTTTTGTTTTTGTTAACATATTTTTAATGGTTTAGAATCATACATAGTACAGTTATTATGATTCTAAACCATTTTTGCGGCAATTTCAAATCTGTCTTTAGAATTTTCCCATCACATCTAGTTTTTAAGATATTTATTAATTTGTAAAACAGTGAAATTGGACATTTAAAAATTAATTAAAAAAAGGAAACATTTTTTTTTCTTTAAACGATTTGATATTTGTTTTTATGATGTTATAGGCATTTTATCCAAAATTTTAGACAAATTCGTCGTATAGAGCGTATTTTTATAATTAGATTTTGAAATATTGTTTTGATGGTGATTTTACAAGAAATAAATTCATATTTGCGTAAATACTTTTAATTATATGAGAATTACAAATAATTTTAGAGAAAAATTACTTTACTTTCAAACATCGATAATGATAAATACCTAGTTATCTATGTTGCAATATGTTTGTATCGTGGTTAGATCAATCTAATATTATTATTTTGTTATAACATATATACCATTCACAATGTATTAGTGATAGAATCATAATTATACATAAGATTTATGTGAATTTTAAATTATTCTAAAACATATTAATGCATGGATAAGACTTAATATAAAATGTTGTAATAACCGTATAAAATAATGTGTAATAATTGACACAATCGTTTAGTAAAGAGCTAACAATAGCGTTGGAGATACTTTTTACTTAAAAGTAGTCATTCTTTCTTATTCTTGGATTTACTCTCTCGCTGTTCTTTGCAATAAGTGATAAGCTTGCTCAGATTACTGTTCATACAAAAAAAACGAGTTAAACTAATTTCAAAAAATTAACGTAAAATATCAAAGTAAATACTAATATATAGTAACTCAAAATGATCTATACAATTAGTCACTGATTGGTTTTAGTATAATAATTGAGTTACTATGTATTTATTGAATAAAATGTGTTCGCGCCACGTGCAAATCGTAGAAAGCGCGCGCTTATTGTTTCCGTCTACTCATTTACCCTTTCTCACCAGGTTGTTTGGCGGCATCGGTCGGTTATCAATGCCGGCCGATAACTGTATGATATGTGTTATTTTTAGTAAAAAGATTTAGTATCATGTTTCTCCTTGTTTACCAGATAGTTGTTTTTTTTTTGTTGTAAGTCACACGGATGACGTTTTCTATTATTTTATTTAAATTGCACGGATTATGTTAGATACTTTCAATTGCGAATCATTAGATTAAAATATTTACCTATGAACATTGGTATATAATAATTGTACACAAAAATCTGATTGGTGAGTTTGGCAGTTACTGTTACATTTATGTAAATTATTAGCACATAATATTCATTATTTTTATACCACACGGATGTTTTGATTATAAAATTTGTCATTTTGTACTGAATTGTTTTTGATTGACTATAAAAACATTGTCTATTGATATTATAGATTACTGAATAATGAGTGGTGTATATATTATAACAAATATCAGCCAAAAATGTAATTTAATATAGTATTTTGAGTACATATGAAAGAATATAAGAAAAATCGAGCTTTTATTAAAAATAAAATATTAATTAAATTATATAATTCAATAACGTTGTATATCTAGTAAATTAACATAGTTTAATATTTTATAGGTATATTTCAGAAGCCAAAATAGAGATTCCTATATAACTACTATGCTACTCTAGGTACTCGTGGCATCATTGATTTAAAAGAATATGATAAGAAATTTCAACTATTTGGCTCACAGAGTAATACTCTATTAGAGTATTATTCTATGATTTGGCCGCCCCAAGTAGTTGGGATTAAGGCAAGGACAAAGAAGAAAGATGATAAGAAGTTACAATATTTTTTATATAAGAAAATTTATTACGACTAGTAAAGTGTTTTATTTAAAATAATGACTTATGTTCGGTAAAAACGAGGTCAGTTTTAATATTCGGGGTGGTCTCCGTGTATTAATAGAGAATTCAGATTTACTCATACATGCAACGTTTATCCGACTTAACTATATTAATATGTTTTACACAAATAATAATAATTATTTTTGAATCGTTTCTATAATAATACGATTCCTATTATTTATGAGTTCTAGAGAGATACCAGTCGCACGCGTATGTGTTAAACCGGTTGTATTGCGGAATACAACTTCAGATATCCTCGTGTACTTTTTTGAATAAACACTTGTTGTCGTATTTCAACGCAAGAAGATAATAAAACATTAGTGGGATGTGCCGGATTACGTAGAACCATTGACCGGATATTGTAATAGGCACTTGTATTGTACGAAAAGGATACTTGCGGTTAGACCAAAAGAAAGCGAACCGACGTGATGGTTTTAGTAATCACGACTACTAAAAATACTCACCTTTGATCATATTAAACATTTATGTGAGTAATTGCCTTTATTCTCATGGAAATCTTAATCTTTTTCGGTGCTTTTACTGAACACAACTCTTCTGACGTTGAAAGTTGAAAATTCATTTACATATTATATGTTTCACAATTTTATCACAATATATTTTTTACCATCATGGCTTATTGCGGAGATTTCTAAAAGAAAAAATGTTAAATACTTTTTCCTTTAAAATTAATAGAACTTATTATTACTTTGTAATAATTATTTGATTATTATTATTATTTAAAAAAAATAATAATCAAATGTTTACTTTCTTACGATTAATCTAGGAAAATTTACTTATTTTACATTTTAATAAAAAATACGATTTTAAAAAATAAAAATATTATATTCTATAGAGATTATTTTTAAATGAATGAAAAAAATATTGTTTCAAATTTATTATGAAACTCTTATTATAATTCGATATTAGGTTTTTCTAGGACTTGAAACTTTTATTAAATATCTGTCACAAATTCAGAAGTTATCCAAAAAGGTGTGCCTAAAAAGTAAAAAAAGAGTTCTTCCCAAAATTTATAATAACGGCGTGTACATTTACTAAAAAAGAGCTTTAAAAATAAGCTCGTTGTTTCACATAGTTCCGAATTATTAATACGATACTATGTCCATTGAAACTCTGAATCAGATCTGTTATAGAGTAGAATAATAGTGTTTGTTTTAATCCATTAGTATGGTGAATGTATGTTTATATACGCGTTTGGTATTTGCACGAGTGAAGTTTTATAGAAACGACAAAAATATTAAAATCTTAAATTAAGAATTCGGTCAAGATATGGAAAAATTCGCATCTACGATACGTTATAATAAATATTGGAACAAAAAGCAGCCCTCGTTGAGGGAAACGATCGTGATGATTGCTCGGGAATTTTAAACAGTCGATATGCACTACCCCTCTTTCTTCCCCGCCAGTTTGTAATTTTCATTTGTCGTCGGAATACCAAACATTTTTAATCGACGCTTTTAATTGAAAGCCACCCCCCTCACATACTTTGCCATCGTTCTCACTGATCTTTTATCTACTCTTTTGCTAAAAATTTCTAACAACTATTATTTTGTCTTTAACTCGCATTCTTTACGTTTGAACTAAATCGACACGATGGATGTTACGCAGCTATAAAATTGTTCACTCTTTCCTTTTGCGACTTGTTCACGGTAAATAAAATTAATATTTGTTCTGTAAATTGTCAAATATGACCAATCTGTCTCGACAAATCTAGTAATAAACTATAAAAACAATTTTTTTCAAGTGGATGTATAACAATGATTATTATAACGCTATATCGTGTTACAGTGTTGTTGTTGTGTATTATTAACAACGTGCCACATAAATTATTGGGGCGAAGAGGGTGCAACGCGGGAGGCCCTTTAGTGAGAAGTAAAATATTGTTATAAAAATAATTACATAATTTATGAACTTTACACACTCGTAAATAAACGGTGTCGCGTAGTAATTTTGTTTTAACTCGGAAAGTATATTTACTAACAAAAAGCATACAGAACAAAATACTGTATTGGTGTCTTACGATAATCAATACTATCCAAGTCGTTGGCGAACTATGTGCCTTTTTAGATTGTATAGTTTTTATTATTTGTCCAGAAATTTAATGCAGCTAAAAGAAAATATTATTTCATAGTCTTTAATTAAATCCCAAAATAAGGTTGTGTGATTCATATTAAATTAGTTCTCTTTGATTGTAAATTGAATTAAAGAGACATAATATTTCAACGTCCTTTGTTCTAAACTCATTAAATTCTTAATAGTGATTTATTTAATTAATGATATACTAATTGAGAACATCGTAAAAGTAATGACGTGAAATGGCTGATTATAAATTTAAAATATATTAACTGGATGCGCTTAAATAATATTCGGAAAGAAAAAAATGTAATGAATATTTTAGTTTTCTTTTCATTGAGAAATGTACATAGAAAAGTGTTTTAACTGGGTAAAAATTGTATTCAGATTAAAAGAGAATATCAAAATGTACCCATAGTTAGAAGTGTAGTCTTCAAATGTAGACAATTTTAGCTGTAACAATTTACGACGAGGAAGAGAAAATGTTTAATTAATAAATTATTATAATTAAATAAAAGTATAGTTTTTAAAAATTACAACTATTTTTTAGTTATTTCGGATAAAATATTAATGATTTTTAATCGTGTTTAAATTTATGGTATGCGATAATATTTTAGGTGAAACAATTTACAGTACAAATTGTGTTAGTTACTTATTAGTTTAGACACTCACTCAAAATTGTTGATGTTTTTGCCAATGGTCTATTATTTACTATCTCACAACGTATTCTCAAAAAATATTAGCTTTAATTTGAGTTTCATTAACCTCGTAATGTTACTACATTTATTAAATAACGTTAATATTATACTATAGATTCCTGTCGTCTCCTCCTTGTCTATTTATTATTACTATTGCCATTAAATACAAATATTGTTTCGTATTATTTTGTTTATTTTTGTGTTCTTGTGTTTTACTTTACAATAAAGGATAATATTCAACGAGCTTATTAAAAAATGATATTAATAACACATTAGTATTGGAACTCATAAAAATAATTTTAAGTACTCCACCAACATAATAAACATTAGTGATTTTGAGTAACTTTTTTAAAAGTAATAAATTTGCTAAATAAAAAGTTTTTGGATTGAAATGAAAAAAAGAATTGGTAGAGCATTTTATTACAAAACGTTTATTTAATCACCTTTTTAACATTCTATAAGAACAGTTTAATATATTTTTACTATGCAGTTAGAATTATGAAATGAAATTCTTATTAATATTTCAGTATCATACAATAGAACTGTAAATTATTTATTCAAATAAATATATTTCAAGTCCATAACTACATGACTACAATCAATTTTCACGTGTAAAATAATTGTGATGTTATATACTTTCTATATTTATGATAATTCTGTTGACAGATTTACCGCTGTTACAATGCTCAATATTATAAATAATGTATTGAAAATAGGAGTACATCACGCGATTAAACTATACTCAATGAAAATTCATTCGATACATAAAAATGATTTGCCAGTTATAAGTTGTAACATTTAATTGCACTTTGTTCGTTAAGATTTTTCCATGTTTGACCTATGTTTTCAAATTGCGCATAGGAGATTTATTGTTATGATAGTACATGTATGGCCATAAAGAGTCGTGTTAATGGACCACGCAAAAGAAACGCGTTTGCATAAAAATGTAAGCTTCTTGACGTTTTATGTTCAATATTAATTATAACTCTCAATATTTGTAATAACTTACGAGTTGTTATATGTTTATGACCGTATATCAGTTTAACTTGAATTATAACATACAGTATTTGATTCTAAACTGTAGTCCTTTAAAAAAGGTTATTTAGTAAAAACTTTATGACTATTGAAATGCTAGACGTATTATTATAAATTAAATTTTTCAAGTTGCCACCAAAAAAATGGATCAAATAGACGCAAGCTTTGTTTTCCGATAAACCAAAACTGAATATATCAACGATCGAGTAAATGTAAGTGGTTTTTGTTTAAAATCAAATGATGAGAAATTGCACTGGAGACTTCAATATCGTAGCCGCTTGTAAAATTCAACGATGGGATCGATCAGTGTCGCCCTCGTACGGTGCGCTTCTGTACATCAGATTAGGATCGCCGCCAGTGGTGTCGGTCGTGCCGATTGCCAGGCCAGCCAGTTGCTGTTCAGTCGGCCGTTCGTCACAACGTGTTGCCGGTCGCCAGTTCGCCGTGCGAATACTCTGTACGTATCTCACGTGTGCGCCGTCTATGGATTTTCGCGCTAAATTATTTACATCTGTTGGGAATTTTCGCTCTCTTCACTCGTCCCTTACTTTGACAACCGTCCGCCTAAGCGGTGCGCGGAATCATTTTGCTTTACATAATAAATTTAATATTTCCAGTGCATCGTTAAAATAAAAAAAAAACGCCATGTTCGGATCAGTGATCGTCACTATTTGGATTTTGATTGTTGCCTCTGTGGTGGCATTGCCTCGTGACATGTCAGACGAAGACTTGATGAAAGCTTCTCCATTAACGGTTGCTCAGTGTAGGGCAGGATGTCTTCACAAGGTTAGTACAACAGAATATCTCAAACTATTTCCTTTACCTTTAGCCATAACAGTGTCTTGCATTGGCTCTCCTCTGGGTAGTTAGCTAAAAAGTTTTTTTTTTTACTAAAAATAAGTAGAATATTATAGGACAGTCAAAAATGTAGACTACTTTCAAGTTTCTTGCCCTCGGGAAATGCAATATCGTTTTAAATTCAACGAGACAAAAATATTTTTCTTAACATTCTTGAGTTATATATTTATTTTTTGTCAAATTTTGTTACGTTTTTTCCGTATTTATTATAATTTAATAATTGTTTTTTTATTAAATCAGACGATTGGTCGTATATCGTGTCCGTCATTAAAATGTATAAGACTTCTGTTGTTAATCATAATAAGGGATTAGCGTTGACATTTTTTTTTTACATGAATAAAAAACTGTTATACCTAATAATAAATAATTATTCAAATTTGGCCGGACACGTTTATGTCATTAAGAGTAGAAAACTTTGGGGAGTTGTATGTGTTCGGGTAATCTGACGTATGACTATTGACGAACGCGTTTTTTTTTTTTGTTGATATTTAAATCTTAAATGACGGCATAAAAAACAGTCTTCACGTTATTTCGGAAATACTCATCGGAACATACCTAATCAATTTACTGCTCGTAAGTCGTAGCCGTAAAACGTTGAACGAGGTTATCGAGAATTTTATGAACGTTATAAGGGCAAACGAAATGTTGTTGATGACTTGATGTCGTCGGTTTAATGCGTCATTTCAGGCCTTGTAAAATATATTTATTTTTGCGTTGGTCAGTATCTGTGTTTGTTAGCAAGAATTTGTTGAATTAGTCCAGATAACGAACAATTCGACATTTTGATATATCCCAAGTTGGATGTTACCGAACAGTAACGTAAGACATTTAAAGTCTACAGCTCGTCATGTTAGTTTATTTCGCTTCGAAATTTTCAAAAAGCATGAAACCAGAATTATTTTACCGTGTAATAAAAATCAAACGACCAATCATTTATGCCGACCACGAACATTCCGTTTAAGTCACTCTAATGTGGTGCACTTTAGCGATGATAATACGGATTATAGTTAATAATAAAAGCAGTTGCGAAATGATATTTTGCAAAATTCTTTTTGATAGTCTCGTAACGCTATTGCAGTGCATAATTTCCCCATGAATTCGGCTCACGTATCCCGCAACTTTTCTGTCTTTCCTCCATTTATGTAAATTCACTCGGTTTTTAACTCTTTTACCGCCTGGATGATAATTTATGTAAAATATATTCTTCTTGCCATAAGCCGTGTCATTAATTGTGTTATTATTTACGACAGTATGTGCAGTGACGAAATACAAACGTCCTACGTATAGACGTTATGGAAATGTTCAGTAAGCTTACAGGGGACTTATCTGTCCGCGTCAAGTATTTCGGAATTCTACCGGTCGTCGGCGAGGCGCTTATCTTTATTCTAATGTATGAAAGCTTAGCGCATGGTTACAAATTCATTTGTCTGTTTGGATGATTAATCTTGTTTTTTTTTACCTTGTATTATGACACCGTCGGTAGTCGATTGTGATACGACAAAATGAAGAAAAAAATAGCGTTATCCCGCCGTCATTCAGTGTGATACACACACACTAGTACGCTTTAAGATAATGAGATATGCCGCTTAGCACCCAAGGAAAATTACACCTCCGACGCCTACGCGGCTCTTGTAAAACTATACTCAGCGGTTTACTTTTCGCCTTCTTTTGTAGGACGTTCTTCTGTCGTATAGTGGTCGTTAAATAATACTGAAAAAAAGTTGCTCGTACGCTGTGTTTATTATTACGTTGGATATAATGAAAACGGCAAACGTAAGCAGCTCTATAATTAACGTCACGGCTTTTTACAGTTGTCGTCCTTTTTACCGCGACCTAATGAAAATACAATAAATTAATTCGCCATTAAAATATCCAGTTTCGTTGCAAGACATTCAATATTAGTTGCGGTGAAAATCACTTTCAGAGTCCAGTAATGAACCAATTTGCATGCACAACGGATGATTTAACTGCAGTCTATCGCCTCCAAGGCACCGTCAAGGCTTGTGGCTACAACGACTTGCAGTTCTGAATTTAATAACAACACTGTTCAAACATTGTCCTTCTTCGACAATGTACTGCGTGTGAGAATTCGCGATTGTCAATACAAACGTGTTGTAAAACCAATTTTCCTCGCTCGCTCGATTTTTTTTGTATAAAGTGCACTTAAGTATAACGGCTAGCACGATGAACGCCTTTGACTAAATAACACAAACAAGCCGGTTTAAATAGCCTCTTTAATAATTAAATGAACGAATAATTTATTCTAATCCTATAAGTGTACAAAATACTTGTTTGAATAACGTCTTCGGACCATACGACTCGTGAAAAAAACACCAGAGTACTGCTTAAAGAAAATTCAACGGCATAAATAACATCGGTCGGTTTGAGGTGATTATGTTAATAAAAACCGAAATATTGCGCTATTGATATTCGTACGTGTAATAGATAAGGCGTCGTCGGTATTATTACGTGTTTAATTTGACGGCCATTTGCTGTGAGGCAAAGCTTGGGCGCTATGTAGTAAAAAACGGTTGATAAGACACCTCGGGCGAAGTGATCGTGTTAGTCATACAAATAATAATATCCCGAAGGAACGTTTCCTATCCTCGTGCCGGCATGGTCCGGTGATCGAAGGGTTATAAATCAGTATAATTGTAGTATTTTCCAATCAACTTCACGTTGGTATTTTTGATGTCGTGTCAAAATTTTGATTAACGTCCATCGACCGTTATTATTATTGTATTTAAATAGTACATAATACAACAATAATTCAACGGGCTATCGATAAAAAATCTATACAAAAAAAATAATAAATGGCGTGAAAAAAATTATTGTTTATGGTCCACAAAGATCTAAGAATGTATTAGTTACACGCGATCATCATACGTAGGTCTCTTATGCGCGCGCCCCGGAGGTCCGTTGTCGGTGTCTCTTTTCGTGATATTATATTAAGTCAGGCGCGTGCGTTGGAAAATCTAATATGTTTCATTAAAATAGTTGCTGTTAGGCCTGCAGTAATTGTACGCTAGATTTTTTGCTTTGTAAACGCGATAACAACGAGTCGTTGTACCTATTATGCGTACAAACAAAAAAGCCGCCCTGACCTTGTTCTGTACCACACTAAAACCAACGTGCAGTGATGTCGTCCAATTTTTTTATGTGTGTGAGTATGCACAAAACGGCCAGTCGCCATCGCAGACGCTTCCAGCGGGGTACCCTCAAGGCCTACGTTGTTTAGATTGGATTACTTTTCATACATTTGATTTTCCTATCGCCTCAACAAGCATCGTTGTCGCCGGCGTGTAAACAAGGTTAATCGTTATTTAATTTATCCGATTTATCCAAACAAAGGTCTTCTCGGTGCATCGTCACGTCGAATGGACCAGACGACAACTCGGGGTCATAGCGGTGTTACACAAATTTTGGTTCATACCGTTTTTCCCGACCTTTCCATTGTTCGGCGCTCTATTCTTACTCTCTCGGATAAACCGCCAAAATACGATTACCACCAGCTGTTGGCGGTGTGTGGGCACTTAGTTGTAAATTGAATTTCGTGAACGAGATGTATCGTCGGTGGCCGAGATAAAATCTCCTCTACGATGGTCACCGCTCTTATAATGTAAATAAACACCGGCAGCCATGTTCTGGCGGCGTTTGTACTGTCTTATCACGGTACCATCGACTCACCTCTCATCCAGTGCGTTTGTAAGGTATTTATATACCGGTTGTGCTTTCAATACATTTATAATATTATTATTATCTTCATAACAATACCCGTCTCGGTGGTGTTTTTTCCGGGACAACGGAGAGATTTCAAGATGGTTGTATTTACTTATTAAACAACTACGATAATTTATAGTTTAAACTTAAATAATCAAATTTTATTGGATAATGAGTTGATTTGCAAATATTAATTATCTG